ACACACACACACACACACACACACACACACACACACACACAATGGTACTGAAAGAAATATCTGAAATGAAGCCCACTCCTTAGCCACAGAAAGTCCTTATAAACTTTCTAATCTCATTAGACCCACACCCATCACACTACCACAAAGAAGCTAGCAAACACATGTTTTCTGCCATGACACCTTTGGCAGCCAGGTCATGAGTCTCCTTCCCTACCTAGTCTCAAAGCTTAGTGCAAATCTCCTTCTTCGCTGACCTCTTGTTCCGACACTTTCTTTTAAGCATTCCAAGGGTCCAAGTAATTCCACAAGCTTGTACTCTCTTTCCCCACCTCTGGACTTTCTATTCACATGCTGAGAGATTTTCTGTCCTTCCCTGACCCATCCAAAATACAGAAATAACAAAATCATTTTGTCACAGTGGGATGGGGTAGGGAAAGAAATGAGAAGGTGCCATAGGGCCCTATTTTCTCTGCTTGAGTGAAGCCACCCCATCACCCAACAACCAAAGAGCTTCTCTGGGCTGGGAGGGGTAGACAACAAAAACATACCTGACTCAGAGAGACCTAAATAAGCCCTGATTTTTCAAATGGGCCAACCCAGTACCCAAGCAAGGTTTGGCTGATGCATAGGTAAAATAGATAGCCCCCTATAAGATGTGAATTAAGCAGCCCCCTTGGCCAAAATATGAACTTTATTGCCTAGTAAAGTGCTTCAAAGTCTACCTTTGCATACAGCTATCCCTTCCACATCTCAACTTTCTCCTTCACAGGGTTCTGATATATTGTAGGTCAGCATAAGAAATTACATGGGAATTTTTTGGGAGTTTTGCGGAAGCCGCAGTTGACATTCAAAGGCCAGCGGATGACATAGAGCCTATGACCAAATACTTAACCCAAATTTTACAATAAGATACTGTAAACACCCTATGAAAGAGAAAGAAAAATTCAGACTTCTCTGGTATGAAGGGAGGGCCAAAAAAATTATACACAGATTTTCTAGATCGCAGGGGCGCCTCACCACTAACCCCAGTGATATGGAAGAGTCCTGTGTTAAAATATATATAAGGAACACGTTAAGCTCTTATCTGTTGATATTTTATCAGTGATTGGTTGACAGGCAACCAAGAGCAAGGCCCTCTGTGAATACAGCACAGGCTAGATATCCTGAGAGAGAAGAAAAAGTGTCAAAGAGAAACTTTGCCAAGGGGATGCCTGGGAGGCAGATTCCCTCCCCACCCTCCCACACCCGAATGGAGAAGGTCCCAGTTCCCCCCCCACCCCTGACCCCTTCACTCACCTTGCCCATATTTTGTGAAGACACAGGAAGCGATGCCGCTGATGTCCTCCTTACGAATGCAGTCATAGTGCACCTGAGGCCGAAGGGACGGCACGGCGAAGACGTGGATGTCGCCAAGGTTGGTGAGGCAGGCCAGGCAGTTCTCCGTGTAGTCCTCAAAGGCCACGCTGGTGAAGGTGACCAGAGCCACCTTCCGTACCCGGCAGCCCTCGTGGGCTGTGAGCTTGAACTTGGTCTTGGCACTGACCTTGGGTAACGTAAACACCTTGGGGGAAGAGGAGAGGAAGGAAGCCAACAGGTGTCATTCGGGGAGCTGGCCTATCCTCCTGATTCCCAGAGCAACTAGTAAGACTAGACTGCCCAGAGCTAGCATAGTGGGAGTAAACTGGGTGAAGGGGAAGAGGCTAAGGCAAGAGGGATGAGATCTGACTAAACACCAGGCCTCGTGCAAGGGGTAAAATGGACATCGAAGGCTAGTGCTCTTCTCATTACACAACACTGGAGGTGAAGTCTGTTCAGGTCAACTCAACAAATCTGTACCTGAGGCCTACTGTGCACTTAGTCTAAGTATGAAGGGACATAGTGGATACACATTGTGGTACCTCAGTCCAGCTGAAGAGACCGGACTACCACAAAACAAGAAACTTAGAGAATCAATCGGCAGCATGAAATCAAGTGAGACACATATAATTGATATGATACTGCTTGCCTTCCTAAAGGATAGGGGAGAGGAGGGAGGGAGAGAATTTGTAACTCTAAATTTTTTAAAACAAATATTAAAAAACTGTTTTAATATAATTGGGAAATATTTTATGAAATAAATAAAAATATATTTAAAAAAAAAAGAAATCAAGTAAGAGACTGAAAGTGTGCCTGGAACATAATAGGCAGATAATAAATGCTTGTTGACTAATTGATCTCCTGACAGGAAGGTGATGAATTGAAGATGTAGAATGACTACTGCACTTTCAGACATGGCCAATCTGGGAATCTGTTTTTGCTTGACTATGCGCAATTATTATAAGGGTTTTGTTTTTCTTTTAAACTGGGGGCTGAAAGGGGATGGGGAGAACGGGAATAGAAAATCAATGCTTGTTAATTAAAAAATAAAAAGACAATTAAAAAAAGAAATCAGGGTGGAAGGAGATGAGGTCAAACTTGGGGAGGGCCTTCAATGCCAGGCAGGAGAGCTGAAATTTGATCTGAGGGGCAGTGATGTTCTTAAAGCAAGAGAGTGAGTTTGGAGAGGATTGATGGAAAGGAGGTGGTAGTATAGGTTCTTGGGAAGATGTTCTTTAAGGGTGGGCTAATCCATGGCTCAGTCCCAGCCCCGTGGTCTCCCTTACCTTGAATTGTTCCTCGGAAGAGATAAGCACAGAGTGGCTTCCCTGCATGTCGGGGGCCTTGGCCAGGTCTCGGGACACTTCATAGGGCTCAGGCAGGGGACTTCCCCGCCCATCCAGCACAGCAATGGAGACCACCGGGGCCCGGTGCATCAACTGCACCTCCTTGCCCAGGACTGCCTCCACTGCTCGCTCAGAGAACTTCTCCTGGGACGGTACTTCCAGGGCATAAGCAAACACTGACCCTGAGTTGGTGCCCGCCCACATGGTCGGGCCATGGTGAGTGGCTACGAAGGGGAAAACACAACAGGAGGCGGGGGGGGGGGGAGAGAGACCCAAATTGAACAGGGGCTCTACTCTCCAAACCCCAGTTAAGACATAGACAAAAACAATCATGATATTAATACATTCTTTATATTTATCTAGTACTTTATGCTTTCCAAAGGACTTTTATTGAAATTTATAACTGGGGCAGATTTCAGAAAAACCTGGAAAGGCTTACATGAACTAATGCAAAGTGAAGTAAACAGAACCAGAAGAACATTGTAACATAGTAACAGCAACATGGCGCCACGATCAATTATGAATAACTTAGCTCTTCTTAGCAATACAATGATCCAAGACAATTCCAAAGGACTTGTGAGGAAAATACTATTCATGTCCAGAGAAAAGAATTGATACAGTCTGAATGCAAATCAAAGCATACTATTTTTCACTTTACTTTTTTCATAATTTTTTCCTTTTGGTTTATTTCTTCTCTCACAACATGATTAATATGGAAGTATGTTTACATGATTGCACATATATAACCTATATCAAATTGTTTACTGTTTTAGGGAGAAGGGGAGGGAGAAAATTTGGAACTCAAAATTTTTGTAGATGAATGTTAAAAATTTCCTTTACAGGTAATTGGAAAAAATAAAATACTATTTAAAAAAAAAGAAAATTATAACTGTAGTTATTGAGAGGTAGGAAGGGTAATTATAGAGAAGATTAGAACCCATGTCTCCCTCCTGCTGGTCCTATGCTCCTTCCACAGATGCACACTGCCTCTGGGTGTAGGGACAGCAATCGAGCAGAGATCAGAGACATGGACTTTCTTTCTCTCCCACCTCCTTCCACAGTCCACACTAGCCTTACCATCTCGGAGGAAAGTGTCGGCAAAGTAGAGACAGCGCACCACGCCTGAGAGCGAGTCATCTGCCGATCGGGGCTCGATCCTTCGCTGCACAGGTGTCATCTCCACATCGTGAGGGCAGGCCTGCTCGGCCAGCTGGGCATTGGCTTCCTGCACCTAGCCAGGAGGGGACATGAGGGTGAAGTTCCAACTTCCATTGCAGGCCAAGTGATCAGCACATATATCTATCTTGAGATAGGTATTCTTTTTTAATTTTTTTTTTGAGAAAGATATTCTTTAGAGCCTTTCTTTGTATCCCCAGCACTTGGTACAGCGGCTGGCACCTAGTAGGCACTTAATAAACGCTGTCTGCCTACTTGGCTCCCATCCAGCAAGGCTCCATTGAGTTCCTCAGGAGGGGCATACATCTTCTCAATTAGAGCTTTCTCTCCCCAAAAGCAATGTTTCACCATCTCACAAAACATTTACCACCAAATATTTGTTTCTTTTTTGTTTTTTATTTTTATTTTATTTTAATTTTTATTATTATTTAATTTTTTTCAAATATTTGTTTCTTAAAAATTATAAAGTGACAATACACAAACCTTGCCTCTTCCTTCTCTCTGCACCTCACTCTTCTCAGCCCCCAGCCTCCCACTCCCTGGAGTTCCTAAAGGACTACAATCATCACCGGGGTCTGGGGATGGAACTACACATACACCAAAGAGCACCCCTCAAACCCACCACCCAACTGTCCCCATTGGTCTGTGGCCAATGCTTGAAATCCCAAGAGATCGGGTGATTTCTCTGTTATCTCCAGTCTCCTCTTTTATAATTAAAAATTCCCCTGGTAAGGGAACCACAGTCAGGCCCAAACACGTCACTGTGAATGAATGGGACATCCAGGGTGGCAGAGTCCCTTGCGTTCGAGGGCTACAACTGTCTCATCTTAAGATAAGGAAACTGAAGGTCAGGGAGACTTACTCGTGATCACGTCATGAGCCTGGCAGAGCCTGAGCCAGGATCCTTGCCAGGAAGGACCGCAGCGGTCTGAGGCCACTGGATAAGGCCCCTCCATCACACCCTGAGGCTCAGTGTCAGTCCTGTTGCTCTCCCCATCCCTTATTCTTACCTTGCTGTTGGGGCTGTTCGGGTTGGTCCGCTTCTTGCCAGAAACTCGGCTCTTACGAATTCGCCGGAAGGACTGTCTCAGGGACTTCTTCAAGGACTTGACCCTGGACAGGGGCCCCTCCATGGCTAGGGAGTCGTTGGGATGAAGGGTGCACCTGGGATGGAGGCAGGAAGCTCACTCACCTCTCTGACCAAGCTGAGGGATTAATAGGGAATTTGGGAGCTATTCAAGGATGGGTTAGAGACATCTCAAACTGGCTCTTGAGACTTGATCGTTAAATTTTCAGGGTGAGCATTTACATCTCAGAAACCGGCAGAGGTACATACAAATCAGGGCTTGATTTCATTGTGGTCCCCCTTAACAACTGTTTTGTTGACCGTCTAGTCTTAAGAAAGTGATGGATAACAATGCAGATTAAACATAAAAGTATGTCAAGCATACATCTTCCCCTACCTCCTCTGGAAAGCTGGTTGTTAAACATTTACCAGAACACCCAGAACTGGAGCTATTCCAACTTCTCAGTTCTTTCTTCACATTCCCAGAAGTGAGATCTACCAGCTCCCCCAGTAGGGTACGGGGAGAGCAAGTAAGTAGCCCTATTTCCCCTGTATTGTGACTGATGGATCACCAAGGAAGGCCCTGGGCTTAAATAACTTCCTCATCAGACTTTTCAGGAAACAAATTTTACCCCAGCAATTCAATCCTTTAGGTTAATTATTGTCTTCTCCTTGGCTTTCTTTTTTTTTTTTTTTAATAATCCAGACCCCACTCTGGAAAGATTACTTTCATAACTTATCAGAGCTAGAAGCTATCTTAGATCATCCAGTTCAATTTCCTTATCTTATTACTTTTTCGGATTAATTTTATTTTTTTCTTCTTGACTGAGGGAGGCTTCAAGAGGGTAACTGACTTGCCTAAGGCAAGGTGTGAACCAGGAGGAAGCACAAGAATCAGGGGATGGGGATGGGGATGGGGGCAGAGGGGAGCTATGGATGCTACAGAACTTAACCCAGGCAAGCCCTAGGATCTCAGGGGAAGAAACTGAAAGCAGCAACTGAGATGAGGACAGGGTGAGCACTCAGAGAAATGTTTATGTAGTTTTTCTACTCAAAGGGGTGGCTAGGTGCTACAGCAGATGGAGTGTTGGGCCTAGAGTCAGCAAGGCCCGAGTTCAAATTTGGCCTCAGATACCTACTACCTTTATGACTCTGGGCAAGTCACTTAACCTCTGTTTGCCTCAGTTTCCTCACCTGTAAAATGAGGATAATAATAGACGCTACCTCCCAGAGTTGCTGTCAGGATCAAATGAGGTAATAATTGAAAATTGCACAATTCCTAGCACGTAGTAAACACTAGAAATATTATTGATTATTAGGATTATTATTTTCTTGAGTGAACTCTTTCCCTTTCCTTATTGATTCTTTATCACTTCTGAAGGTCTGTTTCCCACCCACCCTCCAACCCTCATCCTAACCGAGCAAATGCTTATTCTGGGTCCCATTCCTTTGGGTCTTACTCTCAGCTGGCTGACTTAGAAAAAATAAAAGCCAACAAACGGATATTAGACGTGCACTGATAACAACCTAAGAAGTACCTGAAACTAGAGATTTTTAAGAGTCAGAAAAATTTTAAAGAGCCAAAGGAATGAAATTCTTATGGTACTATGACAAGCTAGGGGAAAAGATTTTCAGACAGGGGATCTGCCCAGACCATTTATGAACACATTTTGTGGGTAGCCATTTTTTGGCTCTACGCCAGATTTGCTCTGCATAGAGAAGGGATTAGGGCAGGTGGCTCAGTGGATAGACTGCTAGACCTGGAGTCAGGAAGACCTCAATTCAAATCTGATTTCAGACACCGACTAGCTGTGTGGCCCTGAGCAAGTCACTTAACCTTGTTTGCTTTAATCTACTGAAGAAAGAAATGGCAAGAAATTGCCAAGAAAACCCCATGGACAGCATTAATATGACATGGTCCATGAGGTAACAAAGGGTCAAACATGCCTGAACAACAACAGAGACGTGGTTGGTATGAGCTGATGGCCAGGCAGGAAGATAGGCAGGCTTGGGGAAAAAAGGACAGACAATCTTTGGGTTTGGGCTAGAGTTCCCAGACCACAGAGGGAAGGAGTGGTGGTCAATTTCTGTTTTGCCCATTGCTAGGCTGAATACACAGCCTTCTGGGATGAGAGAGGGAATAGAGAAAAACTCCTTTGGACACCTCAAGTTCAAGGGTGGCCCTTGTTAATTTTCCACCTGGCTCTGGCACTTTAAGCCTTCCCATAAGCTGTTACAGCCAAAAAGGCAAGGAAAGGCTCACTAGGAGACACTAACACCTTGTAAAATTCCTACTGATAAATGCTTCTTCTAGACAGCCAAGGGTCTAACGGTCATGAGCAGCCCGGCAGGGGCCAGCAACAACTTTCAGCAAACAGAATGGCCACCTTCCACTGGCTGGCGGCCCCATACCTGGCCAGCACTGGATTCCGGCGGTGATAGTCAAAGAGTCCAAAACCATGGCTGGTCCCAAAGGCAACAAGGTTCCACTCAGAATGCAGGGTGACCGCTGTCACAGCAGCCGGGGGCAGGCACTGCACCAGCATGGTGGGCTGGAAGCCTGGCGGAAAGGCCAGTGAGCCATTCTTGGGGCTCAGCTGGTCATGGCCCTTCCAGGTGAAGCCCTCCCGGTCCTGTAACAGGTCCATGGTGGCGACGCTGACCTGGTGCTCAGACTTCTCATCGCTCAGCTCCATGACAAGCACCTGGTGGGGGGAGACACAGGAAGGCAAGAGGTCATCTCTCCTTGCTACCACTTCCATCCCGCTTCCTCAAAACCTTGTCCCCCTCCCTTCTCCCAAGGTTTATCAGGCTTTTTTTTGTTTCTCTCTCTTTTTTTTTTTTTTGTGAGGCAATTGGGGTTAAGTGACTTGCCCAGAGTCACACAGCTAGTAAGTGTTCTATCTGAGGCCGGATTTGAACTCAGGTTCTCCTGACTCCAGGACCGGTACTCTATCCACTGCGTCAGCTAGCTGCCCCTAGGCTTTTCTTTGTAACTTTTCCTGACTCTGTCCCTCTTCCCTCCTTATGACCACTGGTCCCACTTACATAGCTTCTCACTTGGACTATGCAATAGCTTCCTTACTCAAATACCTACCTATTCAAATCCGACTTCCTGCGGAAGCTTTCCCTGATCACTCCTATCCTCCCCTTCGCCAAAGCCTGATGACTCTTTGTACACTCTGCCTGGTACTGTTAATTAACTGTCTATGGCCATCTCAGCTCCTGGACTAGACTAAAGACTCCTGGTAAGCAAGAAGCATGCTTTGGTCTTCTTTATACTCGTAGGACCATAGACTTAGATCTGGAAAGGTCCTTAGTGGGCACTGAGATTTTCCTAACACACACATCTGATCACATCAACCCCTCCTCAATAAACTCCAGTGGCTCCCTATTCCCTCCAGGTACAATTACAAAATGCGCCACTTGGCATTCAAAGCCCTTCACAGCCTAAGCCCCCTCCTACATTCCCAGTTGTCATCTTCTTTTTTCAAAAAAAATTCTTTATTAATTTATTTTGATTTATCGACAATCACTTCCATAAGCTTCCCAGTCCTCTTACATCTTACTCTCTGAAGCACACTCTTTAGTCCTATGACACTGGCCTTCTGGCTGTTCTACAAACAAGACACTTCCATCTCTTGGCTCTGAGCATCTTCTCTAGCTGTCCCCTGGGCCTGGAATGCTGTCCCCTCCTCTGCTCTGACTACTGAACCCCGCCCCCCAATCCCGGCTTCCTTTAAGCCCCAACTAAAGTTCCACCTCCTAGAGCAAGTCTTCCTAGTGCCTTTCCTCTGTTCACTATTTCCTATTTATCCTATATATAAGCTTGCTTTGCATGTAACTCTTTGCATGTTGTCTCCTCCGTTAGATTGTAAGCTCCTTGAGGGCAAGGATTGTCCTTTACCTCTTTTTGTATCCCTGGTGCTTAGCACAGTGCCTGGCACATAGTAGATGCTTAATAAATGTTTATTGAATTAAATTGAATTGTACTGAGTCCAGTCCCCTCATTTTATAGTGGAGGAACTGAGACCAAGAGAGAGATTAAGTGACTTGCCTATGGTCACAAAACTTGTACAAGTGTCTGAGGCAGCATCCGAAACCAGGTTTCCCTGACTTCAAGTGAGAAGCTCTACATGCTCTGCTATGCGGCTCCACTGGGCAGAACCTAATTCACAGCACTTAGTAGGTCTTTGAGAAGGATGTTGAATGAAGGGGTAACTGAAGCCAGCCTGCTCTCTCCAGAGCCCACCTGGTCCTTGACCCACCCCTTCCAAAGTCTCCATCTAAGACCTCAGATTAGGATCTGACTGGGAAAGAACCACCTACCTGTCCAGCGGTGCCTGCCACCACCATCTTGGCTGTGTATTTACACAGTGATATTTTCTGAATGCCGAGCCGGGGGTCATCGCTATAGGGGTCAAAACACCCCACCTGAATGGACAGATCAAGGAGAAGAGAGGTCAGAGGAGGGGCATGAAGAACAAGGGTATAAGCACATGGGCTGTAAAGTAAAACACTTGCACTTTGTGGCCCCCAACTCTGCATTCCCCCCACCCTTCAGCTGTGCAGCCCCCAAAAGATGCCAACAGCGCCACGGTATCATGCCGTACTTGATGTGGTTATTGAGCAGAACTTTAAAGGCAGATGGGCTCATGTTTGTTGAAGATGTTAAGAGCACACACACAAAAAGACACTCTATGGTCAAGAGCCTGTGAGGCTGAATTTTGCTGAATCATTTAAAAAAAAAAAGGTAATCCACAAACAATAGACAGTGAGATCTCCTAGGCTCTGTACCACTCCTGGGTGACTGTGAAGGTGTGGTCTTCCATAGAAAGTCTGCAAAAGCCTGTCTGTTCACTTCTCATCTTTTCAGGAAGGATGCCTTTGATGCCCAGGGATTGTCCTCTGATAGTTTATAAAAACAAGAAAAAGGTAAGACTGTAATTCAGGGTTGCTGGCTCCTGTTACTCTTTTTTTCCTTTGGTAGAGAGGCTAACAGAACTTTTCATAACCTTTTCTATTCTTTTGGAATCTTCACAACTCTTTCCAATGTCCTGAATGATCAGTCCTGGGAGTGCCTTTAAAACTGCCCTCTCACTAATGCACTGTTGGTGGAATTGTGAACTGATCCAACCACTTTGGAGAGCAATTTGGAACTAGGCCCAAAGGGTTATACATAAAACTGTGCATAGCCTTTTGATTCAACAATACCACTACTAGGTCTGCATTCCAAAGAGATCAAAAAAAAAAAGGGAAAGGACCTATTTGTACAAAAATATTTATAGCAGCTCTTTTCGTGGTGGCAAAGAATTGGAAATTAAGGGTATGCCCATCAATTGGAGAATGGTTAAACAAGTTGGGGTATATTATTATAATGGAATACTATTGTGCTATAAGAAATGACAAGCAGGCTGATTTCAGAAAAAGTTGGAAAGACTTACATGAACTGATGCAAAGTGAAGTGATCAGAACCAGGACAACATTGTACATAGTAAGTTTTTGTATGATGATCAACTGTGAATGACTTAGTTATTCCCAGCAATACAATGATCCAAGACAATTCCAAAGGATTCCTGATGAAAAATTCTATCCACCTCCAGAGAAAAAAACTGATGTTTTCTGAATACAGACTGAAGCATACTATTTTTCACTTTAGTTTTTGGGTTCTTTTTGGTTTCTTTTTTTTTGATCTGTGTTTTCTTTCACAACCTAATATGGAAATATGATTTGCATGATTTCACATTTATAACCTTCATCAAACTGCTTACTGTCTCAGGGAGAGGGGAGTAGAGAGAGGGAAAGAATTTGGAATGCAAAACTTTTTAAAATGATTGTTAAAAATTGTTTTTGTGTGCAATGGGAAAAAATTATTTAAAAAAAACTACCCCCATGCAGTTGTCTTCTGTGTATCCAGGTACTCTTCCCAGGGATTGAGTTCCAGACACGGAACATCAGTTACTGAGGAGCTGTGATCCAAAGCTGTAGTAGTTCTTATTATCATTGATGAGAATAAATTACCATCAAAATGGTGGCAGGTCTCTTTGAATTCATGTCTATTTTGTCATTAAGATCACAGATATATAGCTGGAAGGGATCCTAAAGATCATTTAATTCAATTCCCCCATTTCACAGATGGGGAAACTGATGCCCAGAGAGGCTTAACGTCACAAGGTCACATAGTTAAATGGTATGGCTGAGATTTGAACCGAGGGCCTCAGGAGCCTCTCATCTTGACCCTGTATCATCCTTGCTCCTTCCAGCTGTATCTATGAATGTTCTAAGGATAAAATGGTTTGTGGGCCACTCCAATTGGCAGAAACTATAATCAGGGTCTTTTTCAGTTGTTGTTCAGTCATTTTCAGTCATGTCCTATTCTCCATGACCCCGTTTGGGGTTTTCTTGACAAAGATCCTACAGTGGTTCGCCATTTCCTTCTCTAATCAGGGTCTTTACTGTTGTCCATTTTTGAAGATAGGTGGCAAAGTGGATAAAATGCTGGGTCTGAAGTCGGAAAGACTCATCTCTCTAAGTTCAAATCTGCCCTCAGACACTTAGTAGCTGGGTGACCCTAGGCAAGTCACTTATCCCTGTTTGCCTCAGTTTCCTCATCTGTAAAACAAACTGGAGAAGGAAATGGCAAACCACTCTAGTATCTTTGCCAAGAAAATCCCAAGTGGGATCCCAAAGAGTCAGACGTGACTGAAAATGATTAAGCAACAGCAAAATTTTTTGAAGAGTTGACGGCTCCTTTTAATCAGGGCCAGGATTAAGCTGCTGTGATTATAGCATCTTCTCATCTCTACCTTGTCTTCTAATCTGGCACTGACTTTTACTTCCGCTCACACCAGCGGAGGCTGTGGATTGCATTTCAATGGCTGATTCTGGAATAAAACTCCCCCATCAATAACCAGTCACTTTGGTCTTAATGGCCAGTTTCCTCTCTTACCATGCTGTTTTGATCCTCTCCCTATCTGGTGCTTTTAACTCTTCTCCAATCTATCTTCCTAAAGCCCAAGTCTGACTCTCTCTGTCTCTCATACACATACACACACACACCACTTGATAAACTCCCCAGGGGCTCCTTATTACCTCCTGGATCAAACATAAAATTTTCTGTTTGACTCTTAAAGTCCTTTATAACTTGGCCCCTTCCCATCTTTCCAGTCCTACATCTTTACTCCCCTCCATGTACTCTTTGTATCACCAACACTGGTGTCTCTGCTGTTCCTTACACAAGACACTCTATCTCAGGGGCGCGACCCTTCAGTCGTTTGAGAACCTAGAGGGCCACATGGGCACTCGAGGCCGCAGGTTCCTCACCCCTGCTCTATCTTGTGACTTCCTGAATTTTCACTGGCAGTCCTCAGGCCTGGAATTCTCTCCCTCCTTGTTTCTACCTCCTGACTCCTTTCAAGTCTCAGCTAAAATCTCAGACATGCAAGAAGCCAGTCTCTGTTCATGCCAGTGCCTTTCCTTTGAGATTACCTCCAATTTACCTTGAATATATCTTGTTTGCATGGTCTTCCCTAATAGATTCTGAGCTCCTTCAGGCAGGCACTGCTTTTGCCTTTCTTTATATTTCCAACTCTTAGCACAGAGTAGGCACTTAGTAAATGCTTGACGACTCTTCTTAATGAATTTTGTTGTCTTGGGGTATGTGATGAAAATAAGCTCTCTATTCATTTCTCTGAGGTGAGCTCTTAAGCTGTCATTCCATTTAACTGCCCTTACCTTCTATCTCTTGTTTCACTTAAAATGAGAAAGTCAATCCCGATGTAGCACAATGTCCCTAGGAGTACATCAACTCATTGATTGTTGGGCCTCACATTTAAAGCATCCATGACTAAATCAATGTTTTTTAGGAAGTGTAAAAACTGACATGCCCTCTTTTTACCACTTGACAACCTGTCAGAATGGAAGAAGGAAGCACATAGGTCCAAAGGCTATTATTTTTGTAGTTTTCTACATTTCACAGGCTGCTGTGCCTCCCAAATCCATGAGTTAGTAGCTAAAATTCTGGTGATAAGCCTCTCTTCATTTACCCAGGCTAGTCCTCAAACAACAGGGCATCTGTTTCTACAACCATACTTGAAGCCGTTCCAGTGTTCACATTCCACATGCCAGTTTGTCCATAGGTGGAGCCTCTCAGAACCCACTATATCCAAAACACAAATGAGACACTGGAGGGAAGATTTCGTGGAGATTCTTTAGGAATAATAAGTCTTATAAAGTACACTTGTGTCCTGAAATGAGTGACAACCGAAGATAGAATAAATCACTCAGTTATGATGGCCATGGGAAGGGAAAGAGGAGCAGATCCCAGAATAAGGCATCTAATTATGATGGAGGTGGTAGGAGTGACGTTTGTCACTTGTTTCATTTAGATGGACTCTAAACTTGGGGAGTCAAGTAGTGTCAGGGACCAGGAAGGTCAACGGTCCCAAACTGTTGTTTAGTCATTGTTCAGTCACGTCCAATTCCTCGTGACCCCTTTTGGGGTTTTCTTGGCAAAGACACTGGAATGGTTTGTCATTTCCTTCTCCAGCTCATCTGACAGATGAAGAAACTGAGGTAAATAGGGTTAAGTGACTTGTTCAGCTAGTAAGTGTCTGAGGCCAGATTTGAACTCAAGATGAATCTTCAGGGAAGACTGAGCCTTGAGAACAAGGGCAAGAACCCTCTTGATCACTTCTAAGATCCTTGGGAAGTTGGCCCATGGAGAAAGTCTTCTAAATAAGTTCTGAGAAGCTGACCACCCTAGCTGCCCTATCACTCCCTTTGAGGGTCACTGATAGGAAAAAGCAAAGGGAGACATCACCCTGTAAAAGGAGCAGGTCTCCCAAAGAGTCTGAGATAAAGGGGGTTTCCTCTGAAGGTCAGTCCCTCAAGGGGCCACGGTGGCAGAGAAGGTTATTTCTCGAAGGGGGTGGAACAGTTCCTCAGTGGGCACAGAGTGGAGGGAGTTCCACTGGGAAGGAGAGGGGCAAGTGCTTAGGGAAGGGGGAGAAACAAGAAAGGCAAAGTTACCTTGTGGAAAGGGGGCCACTCCTCCTCACTGGCCTGGTTGAGGCTGTCTGCATGTTCACAGTCCGTCTGGAAGATATTAGCTGTTCCCAGTTTGTAGAGCGGCCTCAATGACACTCCTGAGGCATCCCAGAACCGGACTGTCCCATCCTCGTGACTGAGGCAGGGAGAAGAAAGGAAAGATAAGTCACTGCCCTTTCAAACAAAGAAGGAACAGGAAGAAGAGCAGGGAAATGGGGTTCTTAGCCCCAAGGCGACTCGCTCTCCTTGCCCTGGAACCCCTACAGGCCACAAGGCCTGGCCTACCAAGTTGGGAGTTGGAGAGTAAGCAGCATTTTGTCTCTCAACGCCGAGTCTAAAGCACATTTAGTGAGTTTCCCGGGCTTCCAGGAGGCATAATTATCCAATTAGCAGCAAATTAGATGAGGATTTAAAAACTGATAGCAAAAGCCACAAGGATCCTATATAGTAGCCAGCTGGAGACAACAGCCATCCTGTCCCTTCAGAAGAGGGAAGGAAAAGGCTGAGAGACAGTAGGAAGCTGCTCTAAGACCTTTGGTCTTCAGCTCTTGATGACCCCCACCTGATGGTGAGGCCCTCAACAGAAAAGGAGCTACTCCTCCCTGCCCCCACTGACATTCATCCACATGTCTGAAGTCACATAGGTGGCAAAGGGGATAGAGTGCCAGAAAACCCAAGTTCAAATCCTGCCTCAGACCCTGACTAGCTGTGTGATCCTGGGCAAATCACTTAACCTCTGTTTGACTCAGTTTCCTCAACTGGAAAATGGGGATAAGAATAACCCAATAAGGGTACTGTGAGGATCAAATGAAAGCACAGTGACTGGCACATAGTAAGTACTTTATAAATTACTGTTCTCTTCCCTCTTCAAAGCCCTTCTGAATCCATTTCTACTCCTAGACTTTATAGCCTTTTGGGGCTAATGAGTTCCATAAGTTTGTGTGTGAAATCTTATCAGTTGAGTCAAATGCATGGACTGACTGCCATACAACAAAGTATTTATTAAGTTCCTACTATGTGCCCAGTCCTGGGATGGGTAGAGAATAGAGAAACATAATACATGGTCCCTACCCTCAGGGAACTTAGTCTGGTTTGAGAGACAAACACTCAAAAGATCAGGTAAACATCTTGAAAGGTAGGAATTAAATTTTGCTGTCCTGATACTGGGCTGGACATGAAATACATGGCTGATAAATATTGGTTCACACCAGGCTACGTGCCAGTGACTGATGTGGCTGGAGGTGAGGGGGGTGGGGATAGATCTTGTCAGGACAGGAGGCAGGGAGGCTTGGGCTGAACCTTGCTACATGGGCAAGATGGGAGAAGGGCATTATAGACTGAGGAACAACTCTGGCTTATGAGAGGGACACAGATCAAGTAGAAGTTAGGTCAAAAGAAGCAACAGGTGTTTAAGACTAGAAATTTAAGTTGGGGCCAGATTCGGGAGGATCACGAGGACCAGGCTGAATCCTGACTTTTGACCACAACAACTGAAGGTCCGTGAAGGGAAGGAGAGGGGAGGGGGTATGACTCAGAATTATCTGACTGTATTAATGTGTGGGGTTTTTTTG